ATTTAACCAAGGAGGTGAATGACCTGTATTCTGAAAACTGTAATATATTGATGAAAGAAATTGAAAAGACAGAGAGAAATGGGAAAATATTTCATGCTCATGGATTGGAAGAATCAATACTGCTAAAATGTCTATACTATCCAAAGCAATCTGTAGGTTCAATAGAATGAACTCCCATTAAAATTCTAATGGTGTTTTTTGCAGAAATAGAACAAGCAATTCTAAAATTTGTGTGGAACCACAAGAGACCCTGATAGCCAGAGCAATCTTGAGGAAGAAGAACAAAGCTGGTGGCATTATGCTCCTTGATTTTAAACTGTATTACAAGGCTGTAGTAGTTTAAACAGTATGATATTGGCATAAAAATACATACATTGATCAGTGGAACAGAATAGAGAGCCCAAAAATAAACTCTTGCACATACAGTCAATTAATTTATGACAGAATAGCCAAGAATATACAATGGGGAAAGGACAGTTTTTTCAATTATCAATGTTGGGAAAACTGGAGAACCGTATGCAAAAAAATGAAACCTGACCACTGTCTTATACCGTGCACAAAAATTAATTCAAAATGGATTAAAGACTTCAACATAAGACCTGAAACCATTAAACTTCTTAAAGAAAACATAGGTGGTAAGCTCCTTGATACAGATTTTGGTGATGCTTTTTTTAATCTAACATCAAAATCAAAAATAAATAAATGATACTACCTCAAGCTGAAAAGCTTCTGCACAGCAAAGGAAGTGATCAACAAAATGAAAAGGCAGCTTTCTCAGTGGAAGAAAATACTTGCAAATCATGTATCTGATACAAACAGCTAATATCTAAAATATATTTTAAAAAAAAACTCAGAAAACTCAACAGCAAAATAAACAAACAAAAAAAGACCCCAGTTAAAAAACGGGCAGAAAATCTGAAGGGACCTTTTTTCCAAAGAAATCATATAGATGGCCAACAGGTACATGAAAAGATAGATGCTCCATATTATTAGGGAAATGCATATCGAAACCACAATGCGATATTACTTTATACCTGTTAGAATGGCTATTATAAAAAAAGATAAATAACAAGTGTTGGCATGGATGTGGGGAAAGGGAAATCCTTGTATGCTGTTGGGAATGTAAATTCCTGCAACTGCTGTGAAAAACATGGAAGTTCCTCAAAAAATTAAAAATAGAACTACTGTATGATCCAGCACTTCTACTTCTGAAGAAGATGAATACACTAACTCGACAAGGTACATGCACCCTTGTGTTCATTGCAGCATTATTTAAACAGCCAAGATATGGAAACAACCTAAGTGTCCATCAGTGGATGAACGGATAAAGAAATATAAGTATTATTCCATTTTTTATATATATATATATATATATATATATATATATATATAAATAAATCATATATATATATGATATATATATATAGAATAGAATATTAATCAGCCATAAAAAGTAATGAGGTCTTGCCATTTGCACCAGCATGGGTGGATCTCGGGGGCATTATGTTAAGTGAAATAGAGAAAGGCAAATACTGTCTTATCTCTCCAGTGGTATGAATTATATGTGAATTTTTTTTTTTAAATAAAGCTCATAGATAAACCAGATTGGTGATTGCCAGAGGTTGGAGATGGGTGAGGTAGCTTAAAAGGTTAAAAAAATTAAGAGACAAAAGAAGAAATAGTGCTCTGTGTACAGAACTCATTATAGTGTTCTCTCAATCGTTTAGACCAGTTTCTTCTGTAGTCTTGCCATTTTAGTAAGTGGCAACAACTGCTTCCCATTTTCTGAGACATGGAAGTGCCATTTTGAACCTTTCTGTTTCTTACGTTTCAGTCTTCTTTTCTAAATCTTTCATATCTACTTTCAAAATAATCCAGTTTTATCATCCTGTTCCAGTCTACTATCACCCTTCTCTGTCGTTTTAATAGCATCCTGTTTAGTGTCCTTACTCTTATTCTCCATCTACTTTTACAGATGGACGGTGTATTGTATTATATTTACCCAAAGCACAATCCAGAGTCCTTATGATGCCCTACAAGGCTTAATGTCACCCACACCATTACCTTACATCATCTGCTCTCTTACCTTTCGTGTTACCACTATTCCCTTTGCTATTATGTAGCCATGTTGGCCTTGTTGTTCTTAGACCGTATCAAGAATGCTTCTGCCTTTAGGCTTTGTACTTGCTGTTTTCTCTGTCTGGAACACAATTCCCCTAGATGCCTACCTGGGCTTGCTTCTTATTTTTCTGGCTTCAAACCAGATGTATCTTTCTCATTTAAGCTTTTCATGTTCACCCTGTTTTAAAAGCATCCCCCTATGACAGCATTTTCTACATTCTTCGCTGCTATTTTTTTCTAAGAGCGTTTATCACTTTCTGATACAGAACAGATTTTAGCTATTTATTTGTGTACCTCTGTACTCCTAGAAAGTAAATTTTATGAAAGCAAGAATATTTTTCAGTTTTCGTCACTGCTGTATTCATAGCCTAGCGTATAGAAAGTGCTTGACAAATTTTTGTTAAATGTCTGAATTAATAGAAGGCTGGGTAAATTAAATGTTCATCCATACCTTGGAGTATTATCTGGCCTTCACAAAGGATGAACTAGATCCTTTCTATCTTACATATCTGTGGTCATAGAATCTTTGTGAAAACTGTTAATATGGGATATGTCTGCAGAGATGAGGGGCAGAAGAAAGTTTTATTTTTTACCATTTTGTGGTGTTTGATTTTTTTTTTAACTATGGAAATGTATTTTCTATATAATAATAATAAACAATTAATTAGTTGCTTCCCATCTTACAGAATAGTAGAGGAAGAAACTGATATTAATCAGCAGTGGTAAAACTCCAGCAGTAAACCAGCCATTTATTTACTTGAATAATTTCACTGGATTTTTGATCTCCTCAAATAATAAAGGCTTAAACAATGCCTTTATCTTCTTTTTGAATTAGTTTTATCTCATGGATTTGTTCTATATAGTATTATCTGTTTGATTTTGTGCTTCCTTCACTCTAAATGTAGAATTTGCGGGACAATTGTTTTACTTTTTTTCCTCTTGATTGTTAGGATTTCAGGATGCACTGAGTTTACAAAGAAGTACTGCTTATAAAGCAGGTTTTTTTTTTTAACTAAATTTTTTTTGTCACGTATGGAAATTTTGTCAGGCTTTGTTGTTCAGGGGCAGTGATTATAAACTCAATTGGATAGAACACTTCTTTTTTAAAACAAAAATTTTGTTATACTCTTTTTAATTATATGAATATGAAATTCCATAAATATATACTACACAAATTAAAAAAAATATAGTGCCCTAATTATATTGAAGACAGAATGAAAGTGATTTTTAATAAAAATAGGTATTTCAATACAGAGGTGCTGAAGAATGGCAATATATAAAAGACATAGTAAGTAATCAGATGCTTGCATTTATACATAGAATTAGTGTAAATGCTGCAGTTGTAACCAGACTAATACAGGAATGTTGTTGATAATTCAAAATCCATGGGGAGAAGAAAAACACCCCTTACAAGTACAGGATAAGAAAGAACAGAGAGAAGCAAGTGAGCAGTACAGTAAAAGTTGTTAGGATAAGTTAAAAACAAACCAGATTTGTAAGTGATAAGAAGTAGGAAATAATCTTACCTAAAATAGGAATAACATGCTATGATAAACTACATGTTAATATATGAGAAATGAGTAATTACTACATTCTTAATAATCAGTTGTGCCTTATTTTTAAGTGCAATAGCAAAATAATTCCCTTGTAATGAAAAAGAATCAAGTGGTGAAAAATACCACAGAAAGCAATCCTCCATCTGGTCATTGCATACATTTAGTCTGTATACTTAAAACAATCTTGGAGATCATATCTTTTGCTAAGTGTTGGAAATAGAGGATAGATTGGATAAAGAAATGGTAATAGAAGCTGTTGTAGAGAAGTTGTATAGTTGTATGGTAAATTTCCCAAGAAAGACTCAGAATAAGATTTAAAAACGTGTGAAAAAACCCAATTATTTTGGTATTGATTTTCACCAAAAAGTTTTTTTTTATCATCTGCTACTTAAATATTAAAAAATATACAGAAGCAATAATGATTTATTGATATATTACTGTATTTAATAATATTATATAATTAATATTACTATTATATTAATAAGATGACTTTTATAATGATAGTGAAATTCCTGTATTTGTGTCTCAACTAAATTTAATACTATTTGATTCAGAGTCTGGTGAAGTCTATGAAAGAGTCTCTAAAAAGGGACCACTACAAATGCTGACTGATACTTAGGTTATGTATTAAACTCAAATGGCGCATACTGTATTGCTATTAAGAGATGTGATTTTTCTCTAATGGTGAATGGTTTCTGTTAAAAGTTCTAAAGACAACTAAGTACAGGCTTGTCTGACTTATATAGTAGTTGTATTTTTGGAAAGTTCATGGCAGAAAAACTTTGTGTTTATATGTAAAGTGGAATTAGTGGATTTTCATTCATGAGAGTCTATCAGGATAACAGAAAGTTGTGTGAGAGTTAAGGCATTTCCTTTTTGAGTGAGACTGTCTGGCATATTGCATGATTTCTGATATCCTTTGACCCTGCGCATTGTATGTTAGTAATGGCACCCAATTATTGAAATGATCCCTATAATAAACCTTTCCTAAACATTGAGAATCATTGCTCTTCTAAGATACTTTTTTCCCCAAAATTTACTTCTCTGATGGATTCTTTCTTGTTTTTACCCCCACCTTGTAGCACTTCCTCTTCTTCAGAAATAGTGTTTATCGAACGTTCTTAACGGAATGTTAACTCTAGAGAGATCTTCTCATCTATTCCCTATATACCTTAAGTCCTAGCCTCTTAATGCTTTGCATCTTTTTAATTTTGTTCTAAAATTGTTCAGGAACAAATATGTATAAATCCTAAGGACTTGCATTTAGAATTGTTTGTATAATTAGAATGTGTGAAACATTTATGAATTTTATTACTCTTTTAGGTTGGATCCTTGGAACAAGCTATGCTTGATGCTCTCGTAATGGATAGAGTTGCATTTGTAAAACTTCTTATTGAAAATGGAGTAAGCATGCATAAATTCCTTACCATTCCTAGACTTGAAGAACTTTACAACACTGTAAGTATATGTTAAAATTGTTTGTTGACTAAGTTTTATCATCTTTGAGAAATGTCATTTTACCTGAACATACACAATCCTGTTGGTAAAACTTTCAATGTTTTGCTAGATTACATGGAAAAATCACAGCCAGTCTTAGTATAGATTGTTTATGTGACAGTCTGAAACCCTGTCCCTGTTTCTGGAGACCTCTGTTACCATAGCCACTTAGGAAAGAGATGTAGTGTTAACAACGCTGTCCTTCCCCTCACCTCTTTTTTAAACTGTAGGATCAACTTCTTACTTATAGAATCATGATATTTCTTCTTTTACTTGGTGGTCATTTGTTATACCAAATTTCTTTTGATTCCTTTGCCCATTGAAGAAATTCTACATTGTTTTTTTCTTTTCTCTTTTTGTTTTTTACATTTATGATTTTGCCCTTGTGGTGTCCCACTTTAGCTTACATACTGTTTTTCATTTAAAGAGCTCTTAAAAACTAATTATTTAAAAGTCCTTAAAAAAGTCTCTTTCATTTCGTTTCAAATTTCATGTCACTAACATTGGAGAGGATAAATATTGCCCTTCTTATTGGTTTCCCATATTGCCAATATGGATTTAATGGAACTATACTTTGAGGAGTACTGTGACTGAATCCTAGCTTTCTAATCTTGACTTCTCTGCAGAGTTGTGTCTGTTCATTCATCAGTTTCTTCCTATTTGTCTCCTCTTTTTAATTTTTAATATATTCATACTATTCAATCATTTCCAGCCTATACTATTTCAGTAATCTAGTGTTCTTAATCTAGTTTTTCTTCGAATCTTTAACCTAATTATTCTTACAAGCACATATTTTATCATATCTTCCCCAAGTTTAAAAACATTTCGTGGCTCTCCAAGTGTACAGAAATACTCAAACTCTTAGCTTAATTTTCAAAGCTCTCCAACTTCTGAAAATTTGAAATTTTGCCCCAGCTATTTATCTTACTTGGCCTTTTTATTCCTACTCCCCACCTCCCCGTCCTGGGTGTTTCAACTATATAGCCTACCTACTATTTCCCCAAAACATAAACCTTTTTTAAAATAAGTGTTTGCTGTTTACTCAGTGCTGGTCTGTGGTTTTTTTTTCCAACTGTTCCCCACTTACTGGATTTTATTTGTTGTTTAGAACTTAGTTCAGTGCCAGTGGGGAGGGTATAGTATGTGCCTAGCACGTATAAGCTCCTGGGTTCAATCCCCAGTACCTCTATTATAAATAAATAAATAGATACATACATACATACTTAATTACCTCATCTCCGAAAAATTTTTAAAAATAAAATGTTAAAAAAAAATGCCATGCCACTGCTACAGTGAAGCCCAATAGCATGTTGGGTAAGTACAATTATATCTTCCACTGTGGCTTATAAATTTCTTTTGAATAGGGATTATGTCTTTATTTTCCCCCATTATTTCCCTTTAATAGTATCTAGCACAGTTACATTGAACTTTCTTGGTGTTCTACTGTCTCTAATGAACAGATGTGAAAATTAAAGGAATTATTCTTCATGCTAAAGTGAGGTTTATCCCTGAAATGTAAAGCAAATGTAAAACAGTAAAAATAAAAATTAACCTCATTAGCAAGGCAAGTAATTTTAATTGTGTAACTCAAAGGTATTAAGATAATAGTTACTCTCAGCATCAATTATTGATAAATATTTTTAAAGTTTAATGGATTATGTATGATATGATAAAGCAGTGGTTCTCAAACTTTTTGATATCTGGGTCCAATTACATAAAAGTTATTGAGGACATCAAAGAGCTCTTCTAAAGAGGTTTTGTTTATGTGTGTTCACATGTACATATTGGAATGTAAAACCAAGAAATTTTAAAAATGTTTATTGATTCATACTTAAGGAACAATAATATATTCATTACATATTAATGTAAATAACATATCTTTCAATAGAGCAAAAAAAATCAATGAGGAAAGTAGAATAGTTTTATGATTTTACAAATCTCTTTAATGTCTGACTTCATAGAAGGCAGTTGGAGTCTTATGTTTGCTTTTGGATTTAATATCATGATATCACACATCAAGAAGCCTCTGGAAAACTCTACTGAACACTGAGAGAATGAGAATGAAAAAAATGCAGATAACATTTTAACATGATTTGGAAAATATTTTTGATCTCATAGGCCTCCTGAAAAGATCTTGGGGGTCATCAGGGGTCTTCAGATCACACATTGAGAACTGCTAGGTTAAATTACACTTCTTTTTTTTAGTAAGAAGTTATAGTTAATGAATAAACATTAATGAATTAAGATAAAATAGAATTCCAAAAATTGCATTTCTATGTGATTACATACTATTAGCGAAAATACACTGAAACTTCCTAATACCTAAAACTTATGAAATACTTCATGTTAACTTGTAGGAGATTTATTTTTAAAATACTAACATATGGAGATGATTGGGCTGAAAGAACTCTGCTTTTAAATCTATAGACTAAATATTATTTTTAAAAAAAGAGCAAAGTAAGATAAAATGTAGTTTATATGTAATATCAGTTATAGCCATCTTTCGATATTCTATAGAATTTGAAAGCCAATAAGAAAGAAAATATTGTTTTCAAAGAAATAATAAGCTTTCCTACTTAGATTTGAAAATGCATTATGAAATGTATGTGATCAAAATGGAAAAGTGAATTGATTACTACAATAATGTCTCATAAAAAATTAACAGTAACACAATGGTGAGAGGAAAATCTCATTTGATATTTCTTTTAAACAATAGATTGAATGCTCACTGTGGATTGGGTGCCCTTGAGGAAACAGAACTGTCATCCAGATTTGGGTGACATGGCTATCAAAGTTAAAATATTGCCAGTAATTCTCTTGATTTGTGCTGTATAGAATTAATTGTAGTAAATTCAATATAGAAAAGTTCAGGAGAATATATTTTTGGCCCGTTGGACTCAGTCTTGATGGGAGAGATATACTCCTGGGTATTTTTTCAAAATACAGGATACCATCAAAATAAGATTACTATAAAAATCAGACTTGTATTTAGTCTACTCTAATATTATACTTAAATGAAATTAAGGTAATAAGGAAAAGATGACATATACAAATGTTTGTTACCCAAAATATTTAAAAGTATTGCTACAACTTGATTAGTGGCAGAAACAGAGGTATAGAGATTTTAACAAAAGGAGAGAGAATGTATTACCTCCATTATCAATGAAAGAAACATAAACTTAACATATAATTGTGAATCGTGCAGTGTTTGCATGACTTTTAGAAAAAAGCTATTATGTTTTTACAGTAAAAACATAAGAACATAGGAAATGATATGTCTTGTTAAAGGTAAATATGACAATATGAAATGGTTATTTTTTTCTTTGTTCCATTTGACGAACAACTTATTTAACTCAAAAACAATGTAATTTGTGCAAGAACAAAAGTCCTATAAGCAACAAAGTGAAGTTGTTTCAGTTATTTTAGAAGAAAAATAAGTTTGCTCTAATTTTTTTCTCCTTAAAGAAACAAGGCCCAACTAATCCAATGCTATTTCATCTTGTTCGAGATGTCAAACAGGTAAGAGTTTTTTGTTTTCAAAAAATATTATTTAAAAAATTTGTTTATACTTCATCTGTTTCTAAAAAAACATTTCGGTACATCTTAAAAATAACATAGAATGACATTTTTTAATCAAAATAAAATAAGGGATAAACTTGTGGCAATATAGGAGTAAAGATATCAGGTATATGAGAAATCAAGAAAAAGGAAAGTTTATGAAATTGAGACTAAGCTTCTTGAGCTTCTGGTTATCCAAGGTAAGAGTGTGGTGAATTTCATAATGTTCATTGGTCTATAAAGAATAATAGATAGAATGTATCATCTTTCTCTGTGTTCAGAAGAAATTTGTTCCCTGGACGTGTGAAGGACAGTGAATAAGGCCATTGAGAGAAACACTGAATGGTGATCTTCATGGCAGATTTTGCTAATAAAAATACTGAAATGCTCTGTTTCTGTCTGTGTGTGTGTGTGTGTGTGTTTCTCCCACCCCTTCTTTAATATCCACTATGGGTGTGATTTAATATTTAACACTGTCAGGTAGTCTGAAGCTGTTCTGTGGTGACTAAATTTGATGCACTGATATTTCTCTTCTTTTCTATTGTGATTCTTTCTGAATTAATAGTTTTAAACATTTATTAAAAACTATAACAGTTCAAACTATTGGTGTTCAGTAGTTTTATTTTCCTTGATGAAAAGATACTCATATTTAGTTAATTGAATTATTTTTAAAGTTTCTGAACTAAAATGCTTTCTGGAATTTTTCATTCAAAATTATTGCTTGCTGTTCAATGTGAGTGTTCTATTACAAAATTGAAAAATTAGATTAAAATGTCATTTTTTTATGTTTTGTAACTTACTTCATACCAAACTAACATTATATAGAAAGAATTGAGACCTTATTATGCTTAAAATTTTTTTCTTTAATTCTGTATTTTCCACGTGCTTTTCTTTTTAGCTTTTTTGAAATGTATTTCACATACCCTAACGTTCACCCATTTAAAGTGTATAGCTTAGTGGCTTTTCTATATTCAGAGTAGTGCATCCATCACCACAATCTAATTTTATAGTATTTACAATACCCCTAGAAGTAACTTCATACCCATTAGCATTCTCTTCCCCATTCCTGCTCCTTCTCTACTCCTTGCCTCTGGCCCCGCTCTAGGCAGCTGTTAATCTGCTTTCTATCTCTGTAGATTTGCCTATTCTGGGCATTTCAAATTTTTGTTTATTTTGTTTAAATAATTAAAACTTTTTTTTTCTTTTCAGAAAGCTAGAGTAATGGGAAAGACCTTCAGACCAGGGATTTCTTAAACACATTTGCGTTATGATTTACTTATATGGCTTATCAGAAAGAACTATAGTAGTTAATTCTGGAAACACATAGGAAATTTGTTATATATTGACTATTTTTATGTTGGTGGCTATAATAATAAGCCCACTTTTTCTATTTCCATAAGTGTAAATCCTAAAGTAAGGGCAGTAATTGAATATTTTCTGATTCAAATTAATAAGTAGAGTTTTGTAAGAGTTTGAGAAATTGCTTACCATGATTTTTTTTAAGATAATTCACATTATTTTCCTTAATTAAAATATTTCCTATTCAAGTGGATTCAAAACATAATAGTATTTGTCAGATTAAAAAAAGACTAAAAATATAATATATGGCATCCTCAATCATAAAACATTTTAAAGTTGTTTAAGATAAAAACACAAAACTTGCATTTAAGAAATGAAAATGGTTATTAATTTTAAAATTGGAGATCTGAAGAATATATATATATTTAGAAGTTAGAAACTTCACAGATGAAACCAAAATGTAAAAGGTATAAGCATCTCAAAAAATACTAAGTTCATGAAATTATAATTAAGGAAATGAAGAGAATGGTGATGGTAGAAGGGCAGATTGGTTAATATATATAAATCATCTGATGATTAAACCCTTTTAAGATTATTTACTGAAATTAACCAAGTATTTCATCCTGAAGCAGGCAGTCTTTCCAAACTGACAAATGGTTTCTGTTCCAAAGATTCATTTGTAAATTGATGCCCTGGCAAAATGAAGTCTTGGCTCTGAACAGTGTTATAAGTGGTAGCTGAATTCTAGCCAAGGCTGTAAGAACTTGTGTAACCTATAATATAGCCAGTATAAGTATTGATTGGCCCATCTGGAAACATAATTAACATTTATAGCTTTATTTTTGTGGGAAAATGAAACAACTATGTGCCACAGTGAAATGGAATATTTGGCACTTGGAGGTTCCTTTGACTATGTGCAGTGAAGAGATCAAATTATCTTCCTACTGTAAGCCATACTCCTTTCCTGAGCCACACCTTTGGGACTTCAAAACTTCAGAATCCCTCTTGTTACAAAAGTAAACAAACAAGTCATTCCTTTCTTTTGTAAGATGGCTGCTGGCAACTCTAGCTTCCTGTAACAAGGAAACATTGTTCTTTTGGAGAGTAGGCACATTTATATGCAAGGTATAGAAATATTGAGAAATACCATTTTTGCCTTTTTTAAATTAATGTTTTATTTCCAGGGAAATCTTCCTCCAGGATATAAGATCACTCTAATTGACATAGGACTTGTCATTGAATATCTTATGGGAGGAACCTATAGATGCACCTACACTCGGAAACGTTTTCGATTAATATATAATAGTCTTGGTGGAAATAATCGGGTATGTAATATTTGGGGGGAAGGCTACAGATGTACTTTAAAATGAGCTTATACACTGTAAATGTTAAAAATTGCTTGTATTAGAATAGTGAAAGTAGCAACATGAAAGTGAAAACATGAGATTTTCAACTAAGAGTACTTAGAAATGCTTTGTAATTGAAATCTTAAATCAGGGTTTTTTGTGGGGGATGGTGTATGTACATACATTATACATATGTAAATTGATTTTTAATTTTTATAGCATAGCAGAATATTTAAATCTGTAAAAACTAATAAGGTTTCATTTTCAGAGGTCTGGCCGAAATACCTCCAGCAGCACTCCTCAGTTGCGAAAGAGTCAGGAATCTTTTGGCAATAGAGCAGATAAAAAGGAAAAAATGAGACATAATCATTTCATTAAAACAGCACAGCCCTACCGACCAAAGGTATATTCGTTTAAATATTATACTTTCTGGATTTTGTTCCATCTAAATTACTTAGTATTATGAAACAAAAAATTACTTGTCTTAGTAGGAATTATCATTTTTTTTTAGATGTAGTATTATATCATTAATTCTTTTTCTTATATACCAAAAGATATTCAGTGTGAATTAATGATTCTATTAAGTTTTTAGTATTTAGCTATGATAATAACCAAATTTTTAAAATGTTTTGATAAATGCATAACTGCCTCCTTTTATTCCACATTTACTTGATTAACAACATGCAAGACAGAAGTGTTATACAGACTTTGCTTTCATTAAAATTGTGGTTTTTTTCAGATATTAGTTGAAATATTTAGGTCCTTTCTTTAATCTTGGAAAACTTTGTTACAAAGACTTTTTGAAATACCATTTCTATAAAATGAATTTTAAGGTATAGTAAAAATCAGATGTGTAAAATTAATACTCTGTTGATTTGTGTAGTTATATGAAGTTAAAGAATAAAGAATATTTTATTAAAATTCTCACATGAATTTCATATGACCTTATTATAATAAGCCTTATAACATTTATTTTCTCTTGAAGATTGATACAGCTGTGGAAGAAGGAAAGAAAAAAAGAACCAAAGATGAAATTGTAGATATTGATGATCCAGAAACCAAGCGCTTTCCTTATCCACTTAATGAACTGTTAATTTGGGCTTGCCTTATGAAGAGGCAGGTCATGGCCCGTTTTTTATGGCAGCATGGTGAAGAATCAATGGCTAAAGCATTAGTTGCCTGTAAGATCTATCGTTCAATGGCATATGAAGCGAAGCAGAGTGACCTCGTAGATGATACTTCAGAAGAATTGAAACAGTATTCCAAGTAAATTATATTTTATCATTTGAAACATTGAAAAAATACAGAGTAGATGGGATTTAAGTGGAGGTTATAGTGCCATGACTAATTGGGGATGGATGTGTGTGGGGGTGTGTGTGTGTGTATTGGTAAAATTAAGAGAAATCCATTTTCCAGATGTTACGGTTGTTTTTTTTTTATTGAGCAACTACTGCCTCTGCATGTAGAAAGTTTATTATTATTGTTTGCAATTAAGGAGTTAAGTATTTCAGAGGAAAGAAGAAATGTCATAAGTCAGTTTAATAATTAACTGCACATAATAGCAGTTAGACTATGAAAAATTCCATTTGTAGTGGTAGGGAAGGGAAGAAAGTGAGGTTTGAGCAGTGTTCTAAAGAAATAAATTTAGTTCAACTGGAAGGGCATGTCAGATGGTGAAAGTACATATATAGAAGCATAAAACAGCTCACTAAAGTTTTACAGTTTACTTAGGGGAGTAATGGAATATTAAGCTAGGAATGTCATTTGTAGGAAGCTTTATAATAGAGAATAGGACCTCCCTCCCCCAAAATGGGCTGTCTTTGAAAGTATGTGAGAGTTGTTACTGAAAACAACTCAAGCAGAGATCCTCAAATAGCTTACCAGGGCTTTAAGATTAAGATGTTTTTCATGTTAAGTTAGTCCCTATTCACATTATTCTTCCTCTCTACTGGATACCATTTCTGTGTTTGAAATATTGTGTAGAGACTTTTTGAACAGAGCATCTGAACATGGTCGGTTTTGGTTTCCTGTGGGTTTGTAGATTTATTTCCAGGAACAGGGGAAAGTACCCTGAAGTCACATTTGCAGTCTCGTTTCTGATGTGGCATATTTTAATATTTCATAATTTCCACATAGTAGTAAATATCTGAAAGCATAGTGCTACTATGATTCTACTGCCTCACAATTTCCTAAGTGTGTGTGTGAAAATATTAAAAACTGGAACATGTTAGGAAAACTCTAAGAATGATTTAAAACTGTAATTTGGTAATCTGAATATGTTTTGCCTTTTATTTTTTGATAGTGATTTTGGTCAACTGGCGGTTGAATTATTAGAACAATCCTTCAGACAGGATGAAACCATGGCTATGAAATTGCTCACCTATGAACTGAAAAACTGGAGTAATTCCACCTGCCTTAAGTTAGCAGTTTCTTCAAGACTTAGACCTTTTGTAGCCCACACCTGTACACAGATGTTGTTATCTGATATGTGGATGGGAAGGCTGAATATGAGGAAAAATTCCTGGTACAAGGTATACCTTGGAAATAATTTTAAGTGTGTGATTAGATAAAAAGAACAGCACAATTAGCCCAGCTGTATAGCAAAATGCCTTGATTTATGAGGGTGGTACGGGTGTTGGTGTTGGCATTTTATCCCAAATGGCCTGCAGTGGCCTCTTTTTCCCTCCTTTTCTTCGCTCTGAATCCTCTTCAGGTGTGTTGTATAATGACTGTTGCCCCAGTCTGAGCCAGGAACATGACAGTAACAAATGGGAGACTGGCATTTATAGCCCAAGCTGCCATGAAAAAAGTTGCCACTTTATGAAAAGATGATTCCCAAATTCTGAAATTCCGGACCTATCTACTAACTTAATAATCTGTTACTTTTAATTTATTTGAAATGTATTGGGTCTTCTCTGTTTTTATGGTTCAGAATTTGGGTAAAATGTTGGCTGGTACTTTGGTTTCATTGTAGTGAGACATTTTACTTTAAACTTTCCTTTTTGTTATCTTATGTCTTGAATAAGGTACAGAAATATAGAAGGCAGAAATCAGGCAAGTAGTTTAACCATTGACCATTGTTAAGTGGATAACGGATACTAATCATCTACTAAAAATAATGGTGAAAGATTAACCAATAGAAACCCTGATTCAGAATTACAATTTTTGTGCTGTAGGATTTTCCAGGTAATACGTGCTATTTTAGAAATAAACCTTTTTGTTTATAGAGGCACAAGCTGAGTAATCATGTTATGACATGGAACACTTGCAGAGAGATTTAGGATAAAATTAAGCACATAGCAACTTCATTAAGGCTTGAATTTTGTTTAAGCAAAATTGTATTTTCTAAATAAATTGTAATCTGATTTTTTAAAAGGTTAAGTCTATAATAATTATTAACTCTTTTCTATACCCTCATATCATAATACTCAAATGTTTTGTTATTCCTTAAAACAGTTCAACCTGGGCCTCTTTATGTGTAATATGCAAGTAAAAAGTTAAGTTTTTATTTTTTCCCTATACTACCAGGAGTGAAATGGCTAACAATCATATTTTATACCTTTTCATTGCTTTTATTATAGTCTTTTGAAGGTCATTAATTTTAAAATGTAAACTTAACATGTTTCTAAATTTTTAGGTCATACTAAGCATTTTAGTTCCACCTGCTATATTAATGTTAGAGTATAAAACTAAGGCTGAAATGTCTCATATTCCACAATCTCAAGATGCCCACCAAATGACAATGGAAGATAGTGAAAACAACTTCCAAAACATAACAGAAGAGATTCCCATGGTAAGGAGGAAAAAAGAATTTAAAGTAAATACAAATTTTTGGGGAATAAATGTACAATAAGTGTTGTTTTTATTTTAGGAAGTATTTAAAGAAGTAAGAATATTGGACAGTAATGAAGGAAAGAGTGAAATGGATATACAAATAAAATCAAAAAAGCTTCCAATCACACGAAAGTTTTATGCCTTTTATCATGCACCAATTGTAAAATTCTGGTTTAACACGGTATGTTTTTTTAATTGAAGTATAGTTGATGTACAGTAATATTGTATGAGTTACAGATATACAATAATAGTGATTCACAATTTTTAAAGGTTATACTCTATTTATAGTTATTATACAATATTGCCTATATTCCCCTGTTGTACAATAAAATAAATCCTTATAGCTTATTTTATGCCTCTTATTTGTACCTCTTAACCTCCTACCTTTATATTGCCCCTCTCTCTGTTCTTCTTCCCACTGGTAACCCCTAGTTTGTTCTCTCTGTGAATCTGCTTCTTTCTTGCTTTATTTACTAGTTTGTTGTATTTTTTAGATTCTGCAGATAGGTGGTAACAGTATTTATCTTTCTCTGTATGACTGTTTCACTAAGCATAATGCCTCCAAGTCCATCCATGTTGCTGCAGATGGCAAAATTTTGTTCTTTTATGCTGAGTAGTATCCCATTGTATATGTATATCCCATGTCTTCTTTATCCATTCATCTGTTTATGGACACTTAAGGTGCTTCCATATCTTGGCAATTGTAAATAATCCTGCTGTGAACATTGGGGTGCATGTATCTTTTCAAGTTAGTAACACAGTATGTTTTAAAATTGTATAAGCACAATGTTTTTAAAAGATAGGCTTTAGGATGTCTTTGGCCTAGAGGCCATACTAATCTTGATATAACTTAGATCACTGAAAAGCCTTTTTTTTGTTTAAAAGAGTAATACACTTGGCTTAGTTTCATTAAGATTGTCATCATAGACAGTAATAAATACTAACAAATCTTAGTTCTAATTGGAACTAGAAATTTACTAAACAAATATGTGGTATTCATATGCCTTTGTAAGTGAGTAACAAATACTAGTCATCTACTAAAAATATTGGTAAAGATTAACCAAAAGAAACTCTGATACCCAAGTATAATTTCTTCATGCTTTTGGATTTTGCAGACAATATTTAAAGTTTTGG